GTGGTGTGCTGAACCACTGACTCAGGTTTAACCCGGTGCCAGCAGGAAGGAAGAGGAAGCATGGCCAAGCCTGGGCCTGAAAGGCCATGAACAGAGCTGGCCGTCGCAGTGGCTGGTCAAGACCGTTGGCCTGGTGCCGGGTCCAGTGCGGAGGCACGGGCCGGGGTTGAGGTTGCCACCAGTGCTGGTCTCGAGGCGGTACCGCACTCGGGCATGGAGCGGCATGGGAGGTGACGGTAGCAGAGCAGTGCTCCTTAGGATCCAGTGCTGAGGTATCCAGTGCCCTAGGCTCCGATCGGTGCCACGGAGAGTCCTAATCCTTTCCTGAGGTCGGTATCGGGGTAGGAGAGGGGGACAGTTCAATCAGATCCCTGGCCACCTTGAAAACCTCCAGAGTCAAGAACTCTGGGAAGTTTCCCATAGGGCTGGCGGCCCTGTCCGGATTTGGTCACTTGCCCGACCAAAAAGGTCTGGGATCGGCCCCCTGCTAGATCTCCTCTTCTTCTGAGGCACTCAGGATTAGGAACAGTGCCAAGGTCTGCGCAGTACCAGGCAGGCGCACAAGCGGCCTGATGCCTCCCGCACCGAGGCCAGTGCCTTCTGTGTTGCTGGGCCTGACACCGGTGCTGGACATAAAACTGCCTCTATTACAATGATTTTCAGGAGCGACTCTCTCCTGCTTCATCCACAGTTTAAATTCCTTGCAAATTTTACAGGCTTCAGACAAGTGAGCCTCTGCCAAGCACTTAAGGCAAGCAGAGTGTGGGTCACCACAGGGCACAGGTCTCTGGCACTTTTCACAGGGTTTGAAGCCCTGAGGGCCGGGCATACCCTGCCGCACGTGCCGGGTGTGCAGAGCAAGGACCATGATAGGTCCTTAGGACTAGAAAACAGTACTTAGCAACTACATAGAGAACTGATAAGAACCAGAACTATTGAAACCAGAACAAAGAACTTTAGTAATGAATGACTGCTAAAGGGCGCTTGCTAGGCGAGAGCAAGAACATGTTCCAACAACTGTTATGGGCAATAAGAAGGAACTGAGGGGGTGGAGGGCCAGCAGGGGTATATATTGGCTGGTATACCAATGCCACTCCAGGGGGCTCCTCTGCTGGCCTATTGGGTATTGCCAAGGGAAAACATTTCCCATGATGCATGCACGCTGCTCGCACACACCTACATGGAATGGACATAAGCAATCACTCGAAGGTGACTTTTCATAAGGTGAATTTATCTTTTTTGAAGATGGTCTGCCAGGAATGTCTCAATTTCTCCCACCTCTCACTGATGTGTTAGTTACCAAGAATGATACATTCATGGCTAGATAAAGTAAGGAGCAAGCTGACAAGGATTCAAAAATCTTCTGAGTTAGGGAAGTAAAGACTAAATTTAAATCCCAAAGCAATGTAGGTGGTGTTGCATCTGAGCAAAGATATACCTGCCATGATTAAATGTTCAGTGATAGGGTGAGTGAAAATCGTAATGTCTACTTTGAGGAACAGTGTTAATAGCTGCTAGATGTGCTGTAAGAGAGCTAATGGACAGGTCCAATTATTTTAATTCTAGGACATAATTGAGGACTAGTAGAAGAGGTGCTGACATTGCTTTAATTTGTTTAGCAGCACATCATGTAGTAAATCTCTTCCACTTACGTGAATAGATTATGTGTGTAGAGTTTTTCTTGCTATGAAGTAGCACCCTCTGCATCTGTTCTGAGCTGGTTATCTTGTCATCAGAAAGCCACAGAGACACCAACCCTTGAGATGTAGCATCTATATGTTTGGATGCTCCCTTTGGCAGTGTTATTGCCAGGTTTTTGTGAAAAGGAAGTGTGACTGGAGGATGTGTTATATATGGGTAATTGGCTGCTTAGGCCATAAGTGAGCTATGGCTTTGGCTTTGTCAACTCGAATGTTCTGATTTAATCTGTGTATCAATGATAACACATAAGAAAGGACTGTGCTCCAGAATGCATCCCCCAGGATCGCCTTCCCAAACCTGTTCTGGAGGAGAATTTCTAGAACTCAGTGTTGCAGACCACTACCAAAAACAGATCTATATCCATTTTCAGAATACAGCTAGCAGCACTATATCATTGAGCTTCTGTTTGTGGCCTTGCAGGAGAGACCTGCTTCATTTGTCTGTGGGGATATCCTGGTACTGGATATTATGTTGGTTACATCACTTCCAAGCTATGTCTGGACTACATCTCTTTTTCGTAAAAGGGATGTAAATTAGACATATCACAATTGCTAATGAAGCGGGGATTTAAATCTCCCCCACTTCATTAGCATAAAAATGGCTGCAGCTTTTTCTCCCCGCATGGAGCTTTGCCGGAAAAAAGCGCCAGTCTAGACCCTGATCTTGCGGACAATAAAGCCTTTTCCAAAAGATCCCTTATCCCTCTCTGAAATAAGGGATTGTCAGCCGACGGTCAGGGCAGTGTGTATGTGCTATACACCCGAGACTTTAACTGCTGAGACCGGGGTCCCTTGCAGCAGGCAACCTGGAGGAGGCTGATGGGTGCCCAATAAGTGTACAGGGAGAGCTCATTACACTTCAGATTTTAGCTACTAGAATCTGTGATTCCTTCGCAGTGGGCAGCCTGGGGGAGGCTGAGAAGTGCCCCCAATGGATGTGCCACCTGGGAGTGACACAAATCCAAACACCCAAGCTCTCCCTATATCTGTCCCTTAAGACCGGCTGAAGTTCTTTTAAATTGTGCCTGGTTCTGTTACAGCAACTGAAGGAGTCAGGTTAAAGCTTAAACAGTTACAGGTTTATTGAGGACGCTTATAAATCATATGGTTGCAATGGCTATTGTTCTATTTCTTAACTGCTGGCAAGTATATATGTATATATAGAGATCTTTTTAAAAAAATGGTTACAAAGGAAAATAAAGATAGGAAATAGAAAATAATGGTAACGACAGCTTAATCTTTAAAGAGCTCTATTCTATGCATGCACTAAAACAAAAGGACACATATGGGTACAATTTTTACCCCCTTTTCGAGTGCTCGGTCCCAGCCTGTCAGGCCAGGATCCGTCCCTCAATTCCTCAGAAAGACAAAAATACGAGTTGGGCGTCCCCGTGGAACCTCGGGAGGTCAAAACACCTAACCCGACCAGCAGGTAGAGGGTAAATTGACACTCAAAAATGACTGCGCTCCTGTACCCACCTTTATACTCATTGGGTCACGTATTTCTCTTTCTTATCTGTGATGCCAAATGGTGCTGGTCTGTCTTTTGTGAGACCAGTTCTTACAAGGGAGTTGTGAACTTAATTTACACTTGTAAGAGAGAGTTGAGAGGATTAAATTGGAAGTACTGGGCATTCTTTTTCTCAGTGGGAAATTCCTCTCCCAGGGACTATGTGTTCTCGAATCAACATGGGTGCCAGCCGGGCACTTCTTGCAGCCTCGAGCTCAGTTTATTGCCTTAATCGTTACTCAGAGTCAGAGAACACTCGCATATCCTGATCTCTCATCAAAGCAGATCAAAGCTTAATGGCTATGCTGATT